CAATTTTTTCCTGACGGGTTTAAGTCGTGACATCAGTAAAGATTTGTTGCCTTACACGACTTCCACATGTTAAAACTTTTCCTCGCCTATTCTTCTTATACCCCTTGACTATAAGTCTTGGCATGGGGGAGTGTGGGGGAAAAGTTTCAATAGTTTAGGTATAGAAGGAATAAATATAGTATCAGTAGTTTCACTGCCGGTTTTCTAGTTAAGGTAGGGTAAGTCAATCTCCCGTTTTTTCCCGCCTTTTCTCCCCCCCCCTGAAATTGATAGTTTGTCGCCGGCTACTAGTTAAGGTGGGGTAAGTCACGCTCCCGTTTTTCCCCCCTTTTTCTCCCCCTCCCTGAAATTGATAGTTTGTCTGCCAGCTACTTGTTAAGGTAAGGTCAGTCTAGCTCCCGCTATCCCTTCCCCTCCCCTTCTCTCCCCCCCCCGAAAGGTGACGTGTGGGGCTCGGGTTTAAACAGTAAAATCACTAGACTCACAGCTCCCAACTCTACTCTTGGATGTCAGAGAGGGTCACCTGGCAATCAACGAGTAGAACAGGAGAAGGACTAACGTCCAGAGACTTCTCCAGGTTGTATTGAAGTACCTGTGCACCTGTATGAAATTGCAGGACGTAACTCCACAGCATTGCAGCGGTAAAGAACCTGCTTTCCTGTCTTCGGGATAGAATACTCACTGGTATACTGTGAAGAACTAGCCAGGGGATGGTCACCAACACCTGCGACCCCCCCCCCTTATCATCAGCAACGGCTACGGTTTCAACAACAGTGTCACCAACACCAGACACCATTGTATGGTGGGGCACTCGTATGCCGAGGTTCCACCATAATCAGATTTGATCCAAGGATGGAGAGGGACGCTCCAACTTCTAGTATCAAGAGCCCTTCACCAGCAATGAGGTGCCACCTCCACTCGGGAAGAGTCGTTCATGACATAGAATTGTTTTTAAATTTTTAAAAACTCACAAAACTGTGGCTGGAACAACTCGCCAAAACCCTCACTCATGAGAGAAACTCCATAAACTAACAAATAACTTTTTCATAGTATACAATGTATAATTTACATGTTATAAAATACTGTTATATACACAATAGAAAACCACTCGTATGTGGCGCATTTTAGACAAACAAATCTTAATGCTTTCAGACTACTTAATAACCAGACAGTTTTTTTTCTTGAATGTAGAAAAGTGATGTAATAAAGTTGGCAAAATTTACCGACAATATGTAAAGTAAAAGGACACAAGTGCAACTAATGTAACATTTTTATTGTGGCAACGTTTCACTCTCTAGGCTTGACAAAGCTCCTGGAGACGAAACATTGCCACAAAAAATGTCACATTAGTTGCACTGTGTCCTTTTACTTCCCAAAAGTGATGTAGTTAAGTGAACAGTAGTAAAAATTTAAGTATGTATTAATACAAAGAAGAGAGATAGCTAAATGAAAATAGTTTGCTGCCCTTGCTGTAGGTTTTTAATGCTTTTTCTCAAACTGGGCCCCCCTGAAAATATTTTTGCCTCTCTCTCACCGCCCGCTGTTGTGGCGAAATTATTGCTGTCCATCAGAGCAAAGTCATTCACTAGGAGCTCTATGGTGGCATCATCCCAGCCATCTATGGACACTTGCCCTGTTTTGACAACAACATCTCACTATTGGTTTCGTTTGAGGGTAAATAAGAAAGTATCATTTTCAAAGGGGCAACTCACTTACTTAGGCCAGTGAGTTATCAAAATGTCTACCCTACAGTATATTGCAGCGAGTGTAGTCTTATTTGGGGGATCAACTATTCCTAAGTCAAAGTCAGCATAAAACCTTGAATCAGCTTGCAATTCTACCCGACACCCCCTGCTCTATAAGAATCTTGATCTTCTTCTCGTGTGCTGCCTTGCCTCTGCAGCCTGTTGCAAGTAAGTGACTGAAACCATACGTTCAGGCCAGCTTCATTGACGTTTCATTCCCTGGTGCTGGGACCTTTGGAACACGTTCCTTGAAAAACAAATGAAATAAATGACTTTGGTAATAGAACATGAATGATAAAATAGACATGAAATATATATGCCCGTTTTCTTAATTCTCTTTTAGTGCAGCACTAATCTGTAGGGTCATTCAGCATAAGGAGTGGTGGAGGTTTGATCCTTTTATCCTCAATCAGCAGTCAGGCTATGAGAAACTATCATATAGCAATACAGCTGAGTCATACACCACTGCTCCCTTGTTGGAGTTTAGGTTCATGCCTATAGCATTAAAACATACCTATAGCATTGCCAGTTTCTAAATACTGTACATATACAGTAGGGCACCACTTATATGGCAGGTTAGGTTCCAGGCTACTGCTGGAAAGCAGAATTCCATTGTTTCCAATTATAAATGCATATAATGCCAGATAACATGTTAACACTAACATATATTAAGTTAGAAATAGAACTAGACATTAAAAACAATAAAAGTAAAATACACACACAGTATTCATTACATACTTATCTTAAAATATTTGTAGTCTTAATGTAGGGTGAGAGGTAAGTAGTATTTATTGTAAGAAGTCAAGTGTAGAAGGTATGGTAGCCAGCCAGGCCACCCCACCCACATGTAATATACATACTACAGGTCAACCATCACTAATCCGGCACCATTGGGACCTGTAGTGTGCCAGATTAGTGATTACAGAGTGGTAAGGTTAGAATACACTTAATTAACCTATCAATAGAGACTCTTTCTGCTACATCTTCCCCATTTTCATCACTGCTTTCTCCTCCACTCGCTTGCTGCTGTGGATTTACAACCATCTGCACAATTTCAGAGTCAGTATAATGATGAAATTTGTAATTATGCTAGCTGGAATTAGTGCCAGATTACTGATGGAACTGGATAACTGATTGCCAGAATAGTGATGGCTGACCTGTACAACATTTAAAGCACCCCAGAGCAATAAAATGCGTATACAGTACACTCATTACTTACCTTAAAATATTTGTAGTCTTAATGTAAGGTGAGAGGCGAGTAAACGAGGCAAAACATATACATCTAAACGTGAGAGAGAATGAGCAAATGAGGAGAGAGACACGGAGTATGTAAACAAGCAGACGAATACGTCTGGTTTTGGCTCATACACGTTCATCTACACATAACATCTCATATTTATGTCAATTTATTCTAGAGTGGGGAGTATTTATCATGTTATATGTTACATAGTGTGCTTATATAATTTTGAAAAAATATCATAGACGGATTAATGAAAATGTTTATATTAACGTAATATACAACATTACATGCACCTCAGTATTATTATCATCATTATTAATATGGCATCCTCAAGACTAATAAGATACTCTTAGTGATTTTAATGTGTACCTGCTTGCCAGCACAGTGTGTAAGTTTATTTAGGTATAAGTACACATAAGTACAGTAGTACCTCGAGTTTCGAACAGGTCCCAAATCGAACAATTATGTAAGTGTATTTTTTTTGTAAGTGTATTTTTGGGGACCTGAAATGGACTAATCTAATTTACATTATTCCTTATGGGAACAAATTCGTTTGGTATTGGCACTCGAACAGCCTTCTAGAACGAATTAAGTTCATAACTCGAGGTACCACTGTATAATTATCAGAGTACATATATATAAAACATGGAATAACTTTAAAACACTTGAAATTTGGAAAGTTTCCAGACATAATGGAGAGACGTGGTGCTCACGGAGCTCATGGAGAATGTAAACAAACCGGGTGGGTCATGGTGATCATATTAGAAAATCAGGTGGGGGGAGCTGTAAAGCGAGTTTTGGTCATAATTTGAAATGTCCGTATTAGCGGAACGTCGTAAGGTGAAACGCCGTAAAGCAGGGCCCTACTGTACATTAGAAGCTCCTTATCCACTTATTCGGTATCCACGGTTTCAGTCATCCATGGTTTACTGTGGCCCAAAAATACCTCTCAATTTTGCATGCAGTAGACCGTCATTTATCACAAGTTTATTTGGCATGATTTGGGTATGGTACAATTGAAGAATTGCGGCACAATTTTATGTAACACGTTGTAAAATTAATTTAACACAGTTCAGTTTGTGGGAAGGGAAAACCTTCCCTTTTTCCTCAAGTGGCCACCTTGTTGTGGATCAGCTGGGGAGACCTCCCGCCATCCCGAGCCACCCCCCCGACACCACCCCACCATCCCAGCATTCGTACTTCATACATGTCCAGTCTAACTTCTCTGCTACAAGCTTGTGTTTTGATCTTTTAACCCTTTGGCTGTCGCAACCCCAAATCCTGAAGTGTCTCCTGGTGTTGAAGGAAAAAAAAGAAAAAAAAAAAAAATTATGAAATGACAAATATCTTTTCCCGATGGTAATGATACCAAAACTACAAAATTTGATCGAAAACTTACGGAATTACACTCCCGCGAAGTTAGCTATCTCAGCGATATATATGCATCGGCAATTTCGCCGACTTTGAGCCCTATTTTCGACCAATTCCATTGTTCCAGTCGACCAAACTCATAGCGATTTCTTTAGAACTCCATTTTTTTCTATCAACTGAGTACAAGAAACCACTCATTTACCGATTTTAACTACTCAACAAAGTGGTCAGAAATTGGCAATTTGGCCAATTTCATGCAAATTAAAAAAGATGCCAATTTCAAAATAGGGTTCAGAATAAACAATGCAGACATTCTTGGCACTAAAATAACATATCCTCTGTTCATTAGTCACATCTCCAGGTTGCTCTGATATTACTCTTGCTTTCTATTTTGATTTTTTATTCTAACAAAAAAATAGAAGATTTACTGTTATGCAGACTACTGCATTATTGTAAAAATGGTATAAATAATATCAGTGCACTAGTGAAAGAATATTAAACTCCCCAGTTGATGTGTATTGGATGTGTGGTGTAATTTACTTACTCCTGAACATTGGTAAAAATCGAACTTTCCGCTACTTTGAGCTTAATTTCAAGGTCGTTTTCATCGTGAAACTTATCAAAATCATCTCTATTTCTGTAATATGTCTTCCATTCTATCAAATGAAACCAAGGAATTGAGAATACAACCGTAAATACTATAGGAAAATACACCTCAAAGTCGGCGTTTTAATCCAAAAACACAGTTGGAGGTTTTTTTCCTCTCATTATGCACTGTGTGCTGCAGGATTTTTTTTTATACAGTGCACATCGACCACACAGACCCATTCTCTACATGTGGGTCTACCAGCTTTCTCCTGCTTGATTTGAAGCCGCTAGAATTATTGAGTATGTATACATCCGAAACACTGGTTCGTAAAATGTATATATACAGCCGAAACAGTCAAAGGGTTAATTACTATATTTTGTATCTACCAAGCAATCATGACACCCAGTAGGCATACCAGTGTTGCTCAAAGTGGAAAGAAAAGATACGTATAAGCATTTAAGTCTTAGAATTAATGAAATAAACAAAGATATTTGACAAGTACACATAAAAAGAGGTAAACATAAGTTTGTGTGACTGACTGACTTACTGAATGACTGATTGACTTACTGAATGAGTGACTTACTGAATGACTAACTTGACTGACTTATTGAAGGACTGACTTGATTGACTGACTCACTGAATGACTGACTTACTGAATGACTTGAGTGACTTGCTGAATGACTTGACTGACTTACTGAATGACTTGAATGATTTACTGACTGACTTGACTGACTTACTGACTTGACTGATTTACTGAATGACTTGACTGACTTCCTGACTGACTTGACTGACTTACTGAATGATTTGACTGACTTACTGAATGGCTTGACTGGCTGAATGACGTAAAGTTAGACACTCCAGTACAACCATCAACTTCAGTACCAGAACCTCTACCATCCACCTCAGCCCAGTAGGGCCCCAGTATAACTCTCCACTCTCTTCACAATCATCCACAAACACCAGCACCCACAATTTAAGGTAAGAAATACATGTACTATTATTTCTGTTACATTTGTAGTCTTAAGCGGTAAAAACAACATAATACATCACAACAATGAATTACAATTACATATTCATTTTTATTTTTGTAAGATGTGGAGGCCTAAAAAAAAGTTTGGCTTTTTTGGAGCTCTCAAGAACGTAACCCTATTTTTTCCATAAGGTCTTCAGTTCATCCCACACGGTTTTACCTCCCATGCCATTTTCAGGAACGTACCTACCGTGTTAACCCTTCCAGGGTCCGTGCCGTAGATCTGCGGCTTTACATTCAGGGTCCAAACCGTAGATCTAGGCCATGAGCTCAGCTAACTCTGATAAGCTGTGAATGGTAAATTTGGGTCTAGATATGAGAGAATACATCTATGTGGTATGTGTGCACCACAAAACAAATCCTGCAGCACACAGTGTATACTGAGAGAAAAAAAACCGAGACCGTGATTTTCGATTAAAACAGCGAATTTGCCGTGTTTTTTCGTATGCTTTTTATAGTTGTATTTGCGATTTCTTGGTCTCATTTGATAGAATGGAAGATATATTACAGAAATAGAGATGATTTTGATTGGTTTTAGCACTGGAAATGGCTTGAAACTGAGCTTAAAGTAGCAGAAATATTAAATTTTTGTCGATGTTCAAGAGTAAACAAACAACCTCACACGTCTAATACACGCCAGCTGGTGGGTCTAATGTACATTCACAAATGTGGTGATGATATTTATACAATTATTAAAATATTGCATAACAGTAAATTTTCTATTTATTGGTTTGAATAAAAAATCAAAATGGAATTCATTTGTAAAGCCTCAAAATGTAACTAATGAACAGAGGAAATGTTAGTTTAGTGCCAGGAATGTCTGCACTGTTTATTCTGGACCCTATTTTGAAATTGGAATATTTTGAACTTTGTGTTAAATTGGCCCAATTACCAATTTCCAATCACTTTATTTTGTAGTTGAAACCTTCTAAAATAACAGCATTTATTTGATGAAGGTATAACATACTAGGAAGGCTGAGCCTGGGTGCATGCATGTACAGAGACAAACAAGACACAGCATTATTGTGACTTGACAAAAAAACAAAGAAAAAGAATAAAGTTTGGTGTCAAATGACAGATTAAAATGAATGTATTAATGCATGAGAAGTTGTTGGTGGCACCAAGAACTGGCTTTGAGAAACTGTGTTACAGTCAGCTTTCTTATACTGTATCATTATTACGTATGATAATCATTGGAGAGCGCTAAATTCGTAGGATTATACAGCACATGTGGGAGGGGGGGGGAATGGAAGGTATTCAGGCTCAATTCAAGGAACCAGAGCACAGATCCAATTCCCTAGATCAAGAGCCCCTCACCAGTGTCAAGGAATATCCCTTGAGGGGAGCTTTCTTACAGAGTCCATCTATACAGTGAATTTTTTTTTATAAAAAAGATAACATCCAAAACTGGATAGCACATGGAAAGACCTTCGTAATATATGCAGGTCAATTTTTGTTGTACTTTTTCAATTGCATTTACGAAAAAATTGAACTAAATAGAAGACCTTCATAAAAATGCTGACAACAACTGTATCAATGAACCAGGTGTTGGCTTTGTAATGTGTTTTTTGAGGACAGAGAATGTACTTATATGTATGTATACCTAAATAAACTTACTTAGTCTGTTCATGACACCATGTACGTACTGTACTAGCCTGGAAAAATTTAGTGTTAGAGTTGAATATCAAATAAATGTTCGAATTCAGATTTTCTGCAGCAGAGTAATGAAAATCTTTCCATCTTCAGACAGCTGGAACCAACAAAAAAATGAGAACCTGGAGAAGGAACACTGATGGCAAAAAGATCACTACCAGGTCTGTGGCCTGGTAGGCATCGCTCTTGCTTCACACACTGAGTGTCTGTAGTTTGACCCCCAGTAAGGGTGGAAACAGTGGATGTGTTTCCTGACACCTACTGTCCCTTTCACCTAGCAAGCAAGTAGGTACCTGGGTTAGTTAACTGGTGTGGGTCGCATCTTGGGGGGCGAGATTGAGGACCCCAATGGAAATAAGAGAGACAGTCCCTCAATTATGCACTGCCTTTCTTGGGTTATCCTAGGTTTACCTGGAGAGGGTTTTGGGAGTCAATGCCCCCATGGCTTGGTCTGAGACCAGGCCTCATGGTGGATCAGGGTCTGATCAACCAAGCTGTTACTGCTGGCTGCACTGGACAGGCACCTAAAGTCAGGTACTGACTTTAGGTGTCTGTCCAGTGCCTTTGTAAAGACAGCCAGGGGTCTACTGCTCATCCCCTTTATGCATGCTGGGAGGCAGCTGAACAGTCTTGAGCCACAAGTCTTTTGCTTTCGTAGGGAGTGATTTTCGTATGCAGGTTAGGTACCAATCCCTCCAGGACCATCTAAGTGTATATTATCATGTATCTCTCTTGCCTGCATTTGAGGGAATACAGATCAAGGACCTTCAACTGCTCCCAGTAATTTAGGTGCCTTATCGTACTTATGTGTCGTGAAAGTTCTTTGTACACTCTTCAGGTAAAAAGTGTCCTTAGCCTTGAAGGGAGTCATTAGTGTACAGCAGTATTCCAGCCTAGAGAGAACAAGCGATTTGGAGAAGATCATCATGGGTGTGGCGTCCCTAGTTTTGAAGGTTCTCATTATCCATCCTATCATTTTCCTAGCAGATGAGGTAGATACATTGTTGTGGTGCTTGAAGGCGAGATCCTCTGACATTATCACTCCCAGGTCCTTCACATTTCTTTTTCACTCTATTGCATGGTTATAATTTGTTGTATACCCTGATACATTTTTAATTTCCTCAAGTTTTCCATATCTAAGTAGTCAACATTTTTCCTCGTTGAACTTGATATTGTTTTGAGTGACCCATTCGAAGATTTGGTTGATGTCCGCTTGGAGTCTTGTGAAGTATTCAATGGAGGTCACTGTCATGGTAATAATCCGGGTGTTATCCACAAAGGAAGACACGGAGCTATGGCTTACATCTGTCAGAAATGAGGATGAGGAATAGAATACTTGTGTATGATGTACTGTAACACTTGTGTATGATGTACTTTAACACCTGTGTATGATGTACTGTAACACCTGTGTATGATGTACTGTAACACCTGTGTATGATGTACTGTAACACTTGTGTATGATGTACTGTAACACCTGTGTATGATGTACTGTAACCTTGTAAAATTTTACAAAAAAACCCCTGTTTTATGTACAGAAAACCCCTGTGCATGATGTACTGTAACACTTGTATATGAAGTACTGTAAACTTTTTTAATGATGTACTATAATCCCTTGTGTATGTTGTACTGTAACAGTGTATGATTTTCTGTAAACACTTGTGTATGGGTACTTAACACCTGGTAGGGTTTTTACTGTAACACTTGTATATAAAAGGTACGAAAACACTTGTATATGATGTACTATAACCCCTTTGTATGATGAACTGTAAAAACCACATTTAAATTATGTAACCCCTTGATGATTTTATTTGTAACACTTGTATATGATGTACTGAAAAACCTATGAAATTTTGTACTGTAAAAACCCTGTGTATGTTTACTGTAACCCTTGAATATGATGTATGTAAAAAAAAGTGTTGATGTACTTTTAACACCCGTGAAATGATGTCTGAAAACCCCTTTTTGTATGATTTTACTAACCCCTTTTTGAAAGA